AATGTATAAACTAGCAGGAGTCTACCGATGGAGAATCGGCCACACACAGTCAGAATGAATGCTCGGCTGATCAGGTGAAAGGCTGGGAGTTTCGTGTGGTTAAAAAAGATTAGATGTAGGCTTGCAGCGCTGATGCAACTTTAATCTAAAGGTGTTCTTCTATCCTTGCTGACGGTTTCATCATCGCCGTTTCATCAGGACTTCAGAGAGCAGAGGGAGACACGAGTAACACGGCAACTAAATTACATCAGCACGTAACGAGGGAGCCTAAACACAACGCTGTAAGGCAACTGTGCCCCTAACTGTAGGGTTGTTTCTACTGATTAACAGAAAAGGTTACTGATAAACAAAAAAAAGTTCAACCAAACTAAATTAAGCCTGACAAAGCCGGGCGAAGAGTGAGTTTGGTCCTTTTGGAAGGACCAAAATAGACAAACCCGCACCAGAATTGTGTAATGATTAGTAAGGTTCTTGTATTTCACATCATGCAATTTGTGCGAAACACTGTCGCCTCACAGCAAGAAGGTTCTAGGTTTGAATCCACTGGCAGCCGGAGCCTTCCTGTGTTGAATCTGCATGTTCTTCCTGTGTTTGGGTAGGTTCGGCTTCCTCCTACAGTCCAAAAAACATGCATGTGGCCATGGAGGAGTCGTAGATAAAGTGCTTGAAGTCTATACAATATGTATGTATGCAAGTATGTACGCTTAGCTGGGGTTTGTAGTCTAAATGAGCTCTTAAAGGCCTTTTTAAAACTACAAGCCACATTTACCCTCCTCCCCACACATGCAATGTTTCATTCTATGCCTTTAGGTTTATCAGGGTTTCTGGTTCAGTCACCTGCAGACTGGAGAAGCCAGTGGTAGCTGGTCTGCTCTAGTTCTTGCCTGCTTAGATTTTGCAACCCTATCAGAATTTTCATTTCAAATAAAAGACAAAATAAAAAGTTAAATTACAGGTTGCTCCCATCCTGCGGATGAGATGATATGATGGATCTTGGACAGTTAAAACACGTCTGTTTTTATTTTCATGTTTGCTGCTGAGCTTTTCTCCACCCAGCAAACGCCTCACCTGTGAAACCGAGAAAACAAACATCACAAACATGTCACTGTGTAAGCCCACACAGGTCTCTGTTGCCAAAACACACTCATCCAGCCTTTGTGACTTAAAACTACAAACAGGTGCCCTCTACGCTTTGACATCAGCTACAGTTCTGCTGGAAACGATTAGGATGACCTTCGGATTGGCCCTAATCCCACATTAACCTCAGCCAAGAGTCACAACTCATGAATGAAGCCACCACATCACTGAGCGTGTGTAAATATTCAACACAGAGTGGACTGAAGGTTGAGCCTTGTGCAAAGCCAGAGCCAACAGTGATGGAACAAACTAGAATTACAGCTGTTACCCAACACCTACTTTCAGTCTTTGATAAAACTTGTCAGCTATGTTGTTTTCTAATCTCAGGATTCTGGCTCAGCGAGGCCATAGCTACAAGGCGTTTTCACTGCCCATTATGTGCATTCAGCATATTGTGAACCTGATCTGAAAGCTGCCCATGATCAGCAGGGAGGTGGAACACAGAAGTTGATGTGTCACCGATCAAACCAGGCGCCAACTGCAGCTGTGACCTCTGACTAGGGCTGGGTGGTCTGACCAAAAACTTGCATCACAGACTTTTTTTAACGACTCGTGTGGTTTCACAGTACGCACTTATCTTGGTCTGTTAAATCAGACATGAAACACTGAGAACTGATAATAATCCAGCTATGAAACTGCTCATCAGCTGAGAGTCTGCGCTTCAATCCCAGACTGATTAATTTGAAATCCACTGTGGTGGTGTACATCTGCTGATTCCAGAAACTTTATTCCCTTAAAAGACATGAGATCACTCTTTAAGGCATTAAAAAGGCGGCTTAGTTCACGGGTTAAATAAAGTTCAGCTACATACTGAAGACAAACACCCTTCACAGAGTTATCTAATAGTCTCTTATCCCGTTCACAACCGACTGATTACCGGAGCGTCGAGGGGCGTGATTCCGCCGTTAGAAACAACCCAAAAGAAGGCCTAACAGGCGGCTAAACAAACCACACTAAGTCCGTGTTTGCGAAACAAATGAAACCAGCACGTACCAGAACAGGTGTCCGCACAGACTGATGACGGCGTCCCTGGCAGTGTCCAAGCAAATGTTGCACTCGAAGGTGGCTCGATCCCGCTCCCGTTCGCTCTCCCCGCTGCCGCCACCCGAACCGTCGCGGTCGTTGCTGCTCTCCCCGGCCGGGAACCCTCCTCTGCTGGCCGGCCCGCCGTCACTCGAGAACCGGTGATCCGCGGCCGCCATAGTGTTTATTTTCCAAACGAAGAAAGAAACGAAGCGAGCCAACCCGCAGCGGCCAGACCCGAGCTAACGTTAGCTATCAGCGGTAACGGTTGCTGCTGTCACCGACCGAGCCGAGGCTGCTGTCTCTGCCCGAGAGACGACTTCCGTTTCCGGAAGAAACAGGACGCGTGGGGCGGGCCTAATTTAAACACCACCGCCACAATAATAATAATAATAATAATAATAATAATAATAAGAATAAGAATAAGAATAAGAATAATAATAAGAAGAAGAAGAAGAAGAAGAAGAAGAAGAATTACTGACACGTACACCTTCGTCTCTAGCCAATCCTCATTTCGTTTGTGGTAGGAAAATAGAAGCGATTTATTGAAACATGACAAAAACAAACAAAAAGAATCGCTTAATAGCGCTTTGGGAAACACAACATTCTGGCAAAAATGCCATTTTATTTCCGTCAAACTCTTATTTTTGGCATTTTTCATAGACTCGGCTAAGGAAATTGTAATAAACTTTGTTGGGCTGTGAATAGCAACGTTATATGTAGGCACAACACTGGTTCATCCTTTTTTATCCTTGAATGATTCATAGCTCAGTGTTAAGTGGCTTAACTCACAGAAAACGTTCCTCTGAAAATAGTCAGGTAAGGACTGAAATTAAAAAATAAATAAATAAACAGCTGCTTACACCACTTTAAAAATCACAAGAAAGTCTGGCTCCATAGAAGTAAAATATAAAGATATGAGTAGTGACTCGAGACTGTTGCACAGCATAAAAAATGTAAACTCTAACGCCACAACAACAAAAACATTATTTATTCACTTTTACTGTTTAATGAACTTCATGAAAATAGGAAGAATATTTGCTGCTCAGAGAAAAATAATTAATAGCGACAGGCTGGAGGTCTTCTATAATTTAAAGCAAATGTTTTACACTAACAACATACAAGAAAGAAAGAAAGAAAGAAAGAAAGAAAGAAAGAAAGAAAGAAAGAAAGAAAGAAAGAAAGAAAGAAAGAAAGCGGGAACATTAGTCCTACATGTTGTTTCCAGTCGGACAGTTGAGGGGCACCGACCGTAAGCGTGTTGTGTACAGCGCACATGCTGTGTTTGATAATTCTAACGTTAACAGTATTTTCACGGTTAACGCGCGTCACTGACGGTTGTTTGTGTTTTAATACGCGCTCTTTCATCACTGGCCCGCCGCCATGAAGATTAAGCGGCAGAAACAAGCCAAGAAGACGATCAGTTTCTACAAATACAACTTCGGCTTCAGGGAACCCTTCCAAATCCTCATCGATGGAACTTTCTGTCAAGCGGCCTTGAAGAACAAGATTCAGATCAAAGAGCAGATGCCCAAATACCTAATGGGAGAGGTGCAGTTGTGCACCACCAGGTGAGTGTATTCACCTCTGAGCACCCCCCTCCTCCCCACCCACTACCCCCGGTCACTTTTTGGCACAACACCGTCATCATACACCTTTTAATAATATGTCCACGTGTTCACGTTCAGCTGTGCGCTGAAGGAGCTCGAGACGCTTGGAAAACAGCTGTACGGGGCCAAGATCATCCTGCAGAGGTTTCAGGTCAGGAAGTGTCCGCATTTCAAGGAGCCGGTCTCAGCATCAGAGTGTCTGCTGTCCATGCTGGAAGAGACCAACTCGCACCACTACTTCGTTGCCACACAGGTAAATAATGAGATGAAAGTGGGAAAATATTTTTGAAAGCCAGCTTTGGGTGCTCCGATAAACTCGATTCCCAAAAAAACAATGGAGCGATTTGCATTTTCTACCCAGAGTTGAACATAGAAAACGTAGAAAATGCTTAAATTGATTCCTTTTACTCTTTTGTGAAAACATATTGGCTTATTTCGAATTTGATGGCAGCAACAAGTCTCAAAAATTTTTACAGGGACATGTTTTGTGTGTATCATGCCCTGTTCTTTTGACAACAGCCTGTAAACATCTGGGTACCGAGGAGATGGGCTGCTGAAAACTTGTTTTCATTCTTGTCTGATTTGGGATTATAACTGTTCAGTGGAGCAGATGACAGATAAGTTACAAATATCTCCTTGGTCTCATTGTGTCTTCAGGACCACACAGTCACCACGGGGCTGAAGAAAATTCCAGGAGTTCCTCTGCTTTACATCATCCTCAACACCATTGTGCTGGACAAGCCCAGCCAGGCGTCCCTCAACCACGTCCAAGCCGTCCAGCTGGGAGAGCTGGTCAGCCCGGCCCAGCAACAGAGTATCCGGACCCTGAAGGAGGAGCAGGGAATTGGCCAGAAGGATGGAGAAAGGCGTGGGAAGAAGAGGAAGAGGAAACAGTCCAACCCCAACCCGCTGAGCTGCCTGAAGAAAAAGAAGAAAGGAGTCCCGACACCTCCGCTGAAGAAGACAGAGCAGGAGGGGAAGAGGAAGAGAAGCCGACACAAGAAACGAAAAGTGGAGGCAGGAGATGGCACAGCTGCCCCAGCAGCTGCTAATACATAAAACAGCAGGAAGACAGAGACTTCAACCTTCTCCATTCACCTGATTTATAGGTTTACTTTTTGATATGACTGCAGAGGAAAAAAAAGTTTATTACATAATATTTTAAAAATGCCATTTTGTAGTGTTATTTGTTTTATTTTGAAAAACCTTACAGGTAAGGGAATGAAACTGTTCTCAGACAACATCTTTATGATTTCTTTTATACAAAATCAAAAAAGCAGGTTTCGTTACAGGCACATAGTTTAAAATATAAGATGCACTCAGACATTAAACAGTTTACCCTTTTTCTTTTTTTTAGATGGAAGGGGATATCAAAAACAATGCATTTAGCTGTCTCTGGACACACTAACTTGTTTCCACTGTTGATATTTCGTGCAGATTAAATTTAAGCTGCAGTATTTTCTCATACCACGATGACTTGCAGCAACAAAAGTCCATCCAGTTTCCATCTGATCCTGTCATCCAGCCATTCTAGAGATTAATAATGAAATCTGCTTTTAAATGAAAAAACAATTCATTCTCTTTAGCTGCTATACAGCAATACAACAATAAATTAATACTATCAAAAGTGACACAGAGCACAACAACTTAATTGTCTTAATAAACAAGACAGTGCATCACTGTATCCATATACAATAAGGACACTGAGTAAAGTGAATCTGACCTCAAGTTATTTTAAGGATTTGAAAAAAAGTAACATGGCAATGAAAAGAAATTTCACACAAATTGGACTTGATTCAAATATTTCAGGATAGCATGCAAGTATAGCAGACCACTCATGTTTTTATCTATAGGCTGAGGTCCCGAAGCTAGGTTTTATTAAACTGTGTCCCAAATCCACAGCACATAGTAACAAGGTCCAAGACAACGTGATGAAAAGTCTCAATATTTCATATTTTATACTAACAGGCAATGATGGAGAAAACTTAATTCCTTCCAAGTTTAGAGAGGAAGCAGCAGGAGTTGTTAAAGGTGTTCCCAGAACTGTTTTATCAGAATTTTAAATCTGAATCAGGAAAAGTGTGCATAATCACGATGCGCTGAAAAAACAGGTGATTTTTACCCCTTAACCTGAAGGTTGATGGGGTTTTGTTATCCCCTGGTCAGGCAGGCGGGCCTCAGACAGCGTGAACATGAGAAAAAGGCGATATAAGATTTTCAAATTGATGCCACAGATTTCTTTACTAAAAAAAAGTTAGAATTTTGGTGAAATTTACTGAAAATTAACACAATTTAAATTGTTTAAATAGACCTTTGACAATAAACAATGAAGTTTAATCACTGTTTTGTCACTTTTACTGTCTTTCCCAATGCCGGTAAGAACACACCTTGAGTAAGAGAACAGCCATAAATTAACGGTGCATAAATTATGCTCACTTTTAATGTTTCCGTCATGACCCTCCTGACACAAATCCTTCCAGAGGATTTGTGTCAGGAGGCTGATAGCCATCACTATTTTTAAGTTTGCACAATCCTCGAATCCTGCTTAGAAATTAGTATGTTGTGTGGATTTGGGTCATGTCTATTTTTTTTTTTTTTTACTGACAGCAACAGCAACAACAACTTAGAGTCTGTAATACTTAAAGTGCTACTCTACAGCTGTATAATGATTAGCTGCTGGTTGAGTCTGTAGAGAACTACTATAATAACTGTTTAAATGTACTCTTGGAAACAGTGCATGCTCCTTCCTAATATGATGGTGAGAGACTTCAGAAGTAAACCTTCACCTGCAGTAGTGAGAAAAATGGAAGTAACATGTTTGACTGATTGTAAACAAATCATTACACTGGACTCCTTCACTTTGGTGAGACGGCAGCAAACAATGAGATGCAGGTGATCCTTTACAGTGATTGGGATATAAAGTGAGTAAATAATAAATATGTTCATTGTTTGAGTTCCAAATACGTTAGTCAGACCCACTTCCACTGAACCACCACTGCTTCACATCTAAATGATGCAAAAATGACACCATTTCACAAACAAAACAATCTCAGCATACTTAAATAAGACTTGTGTTAAACTAACAGATAGTGCTGCTGACTAAAAGTACTGACCTCCGAGCAGTTTTTTTCTTTAAAAGATTAAAAGGAATGGGTTTTTTAGACGATGTGGAAGCGAGGACCTGGCGTAGCGATGATATCACTGTAAGGCTCCTCCTGGACAAGCTCCACTGCCTGCTGCTTCTTCAAGACCAGAAAGCTGTAGAACTTGGCAGCTGCCTGCTTCCTGTTGTTGTTCCTGCACAGATCCAGCAGGCTGACCGACTGGGCACCGGTTTTAGCCATCACCCTCTGTGATGCAGTGACAAAGAGTGTGAGCAAGAGGAAGCCTGTCATTTTGCATATTTTGATATGGAAATGGATTTTAAGCTTATGCAAGGTACATCTACTTATCCGATGCCAGTCGGTAGTCTTAATATTACCTGATGCTGTGGAAATCTGCAAATATATTGAGTGTGGAGCTTGCCTCTGGCATAAAAAATGCTATCCACAAGCGAAACTGTCGGGCTATTACCTAAAAGTTTTATAATATAAGATAATAACCCAAAATCTCAACTGAGCTCTGCCTGAGGTCAGACTCACAGGCCTGACCTCACACACTCACGTTGCAGTTTGGCACAGACTTCAGTTCTGTATGAAAAACTTTATTATTGTATTAGTGTGTCTGTATTTATAACCAAACCAATTAACCAGCATCCCATCCTCTCATCCAAATATGGGGAAAAAAACCCTAAAGTTAAAGTTTCACAATGTAGATTTCAAAAATCCAACAGGATAGCATCCTGATTGTGTCTATGGCCACAATCCTAAATTCTCTAAGTCATCTGTAAAATCACAGCTGTGGCTGATTTAAACAAAATAAGTCATAAAAACTTGTATTGGTGGTCTTTTGACATAATAATCAAACTGAATCTGTGAAATGAATTTTTATTTTATGTTATGCACTTTAAGATGTTTCATGTTAACTCCTTGTGAGTTTAGTTGGACTGTGTCATGTTTTACATCTTAATTTTAAATCTAAAAAAACAAACTTGACACCATTAGACTAGAAACAATTCCACTTCAGAGAGGATTCATATGGTTTTCTACTGCACATGAGTATATTTTGGGGAAAAAAGGTAAAATAAAAGCACATAAGTTGTTTCTTCATACAACGAGATGTCAGTCTCCCTTCTTAAAGCACGCAGAAACATCCAGGGTGTCTCAGTGTGTGGATCTGAGTTCAGATATTTCTATAAGTTGTACCAACAACTTATCACTCTGCTGTTTTCTTATCTGGTAAGATGAGATGACATACATACCTGGAGACCATGAAGCATTTGCTGGGTTCTTTTATTCCACCTCCTCTCCTCCTGGTCCTGGTCTCCTCCCTGCGCCTCCTCCTCCTGACATAAATACACATAAATCCTTATACCAACTTACAGATAAATAAACTACATAAAAATGAGGTTGCTTATTTACTCTGAATAAATGAAAAAGGTGTGCGAAAAGTGAAGAAGCAAGGTTTGGGAATCTTTATCTCACCTCTTCATCAGAGTCCTCATCATTCTTCTTCTTGTCCTTGTCGGTGAGCAGGTCCAGTTCTATCAGCTGGCTGATGTTGGTGGTGGTTGTTTCCTCCGGGGGTACCTCCACAGTGGATGCCTCGAGCTGTTGGGGTGCATTAGATGGTCTGGACCCCTGCTGTTGCTGTTGCTGTTGCTGCTGCTGTTGGTCCAAGGCCCCCATCTGGAGTGAGGAGGGGTCAGAGGACACATCAGAGAGACAGAGAAAGCACAATGTGACAAACTCTGAAAAACATGTACTCACAGGGAGGGCTGGCTCTGTGTCCTGGGCCTTGCGTTTCAGGCCTCGTTGGGAGGATGGAGGTGGCATGACCGACTCATCCAGGGTTGTCCTGCTCCCCTCTACAGCTGAAGTCTGCAGCACGCTGGCCTCTTCCATGATGGTCTGGTCTGGAAAAAATCAAGAACATATTTTGTGCTACCTCAAATGAACACTGGTGGGAAAACCAGTGGGAAAATATTTTCACAGACTGTATGTAAAAGATGAATGTAACATAGTCCAAATATAAGATGTAATGAATGATGGGGCACATCTTACTGTGGAACATGTTTCAGTTTAGCTTATTTCTATAGAGCTCTTATCTTTGTTCTAGATGTCTTGTTCATGCATTTGTATAAATTTTGTTATTAAACGCTTGCATTTCACATTAGTCTTTACCGCCTGTCTTATTTTACATTTGTTTTCTTAAAACACTTTGCAATGTATGTATGTGAGAAATAATATTTAAATAAAACTGCAAATAGAGACCATAATTTACTAAATTAATTTCAGTTTGAGGCACATTATGTTTACTTCATTTTTCAGAATTTTGAAGCTATTCTATCTTTTATATGGAGTCTGTTTCTTACCCATGATGTCTCTCTGTTGGTGGCCTGTTGTTTCCTCTCTTGGCACTTCTGGGTTCTCCAGATCTTTGAGAAACTCATCCAGACTGTCGGCTTCTCCACCTTTCCTCCTCTTCCTCAGTTCATCTGGGACTAATGGTGTCAGGCATCTTGTAAACATCTAGTGAGGGTAAACATAGAGTCAGTGTTTGTAATGTGTGTCGCCGTGACCACTAAAACACTGTGCACAAATGTCCCTGAATGACATCCGTTACCTTGAGCAGTCTGGCGTTCCATAGAGGTTGAGCTGGAAGGGAGAAAAGCTTCTCAACTCCTCCCGTCTCCTTCCACATCATCAGTTTCTTTGTGGGCGGAGCCAGATCCAGGGTTGTGACAATGTCGGAGTAATCAGAAAGCTGTGCACGAATAGTTTTACTATCCAACTCCTTCACGCTGTCTACAATCAGCTTCCTCTTACGCTTTGCCTTGGTCTCCTTCACTGTAGATCAGGAAGACAAGGGCTCATTTTTAGTGCTTAACCTCAGGTAGAGCAAGTCATCTGCTAATTGGAAGGTTGGTGGTTCGATCCCTAGCTGCTCCAGTCTGCATGCCAAATATCCTTGTGCAAGATACTAACTAACTGCTCACAGATGCATCCATTGGAGCTATGAATGTGTGTGAATGTGAATGAGGCAAGTTGTGCAAAGTGCTCAGATAGAGAAAGGTGCTATATAACAACCGGTCCATTTACCATTTCATTGTAGAAACAGGAGTTTTATTATCTTGCTGATCTGGTGCATTTCAGAGCATTTGAGTTTTTGTTTTAAAATCAGTTTTAAGTTAGTTTCCAAAATAGATAAGTGTATTTCAGTTTAGTTTTCATTCGTTTGAGTGTTAGCTTTACTCTTTTTAATTATTATAATATGAAGGCTATTTGTCAGAAGCAAAATTTAAGATACTGTCCAAAACAACATGAACCATTTGAAATCAAATCACATTTTTAATGTTGCTGACATGTGAGGCACTTTGCACCGTGCCTAACATCACACACGTCATGACAGATTAGTCTGCTGAGTGTGAATAACTGGAATGTGGTCACGCTTTGCTCCGGTCAACTGGTTAAATGCCGGCTGACTCTGACATGTATAACCGCTCATTTTCTAGATCACAGCACAACAGAATCATGCTCATTAGCACGGCTTTCATCTTTCTTACGTTCCATCTTCATTAGTTATTTTTTCTGTTACAGAGAGCGAGAGAGCTGCTGAGTAATTAGAAACAAAACAAAAACAAAATTAGCTGGATTACCTGTGATGTCGATGGGCTCCAGGGCGAAGGTTTCTTCCTCATTGTGGACCAGAGTAGTTTGCTCTGCCTGGTCAGTCATAGCTGGTAGGGGCTCTGTTGGGCCTGAGTCCGGACTATCTGGGGCTCCCGCTAACACCACACACATACACATCATATTAGATCTGCATTTCATGATAATGACACAACTACATTGTAATTTTAACTCTCCGTAACATACCACACTCTAGCTAAAGACTAAAAAATATTATATTTTAGCCCTGAGGAATTTGTGAAACTGACCTGAGAGAGCATCAAAGTCATCGTCATCGTCTCCATGGTCCTGAGGCATCATCACACTCTCTGTGATGGCAGGAGGGTCGTCAAAGATGCCGCCTCCATCCTCGTTACTCAGCAGCTTGTCCACTACACAGAAATACAAGAAAAGTACACTTTTTCATCCACTAGCCAGACGAAAACAGCGTCATCTACAGATGTCATTGAGTAAATAAAATAATCTGTTTTTAAATTTAGTGTTAGCTCTTACCCAGCATTCCTCCCTCATTGCTCTCCATGGGGTTGTCTCCAAAGTCATCCTTGTACTGGTCATCATATTCCAAATGGTTGGACTTATCGGCCATCTGGTTAGCACCACCCTCAGCCTCCAGTAGCAAGTTCGAAGCTGATGCTCCCATAATGTCTACCTCAAACGCGCTCTCCTCTCGCATCATTTCCCGGTCATCCATCCCAAAGTCGGCTGCATGAAAAAACAGTGAGGAAGTCAAGGAATCAGCCTTGAAACAAAGTGTCACTAAAATACTGAAATGTGGTTTTACATTGGTGTTTGGATGTTGGTGTTTAATTGATCAAATCCTACATAAAGATAAAAAAAAAACCCAAAAAACAAAGTACCGAAATCATTGTCCTGCAGCAGGTTGAGGTTGCCCACCTCCTCTCTCATGGTGATCTCCTCCACTCTGCTCTGGTTCAAGTTGAACTGCTGAGCTACATCAATGTCACTGTGCAAAACACAACACACTGTCATTTAAATGCTGTTGTTAATATATTTTGGGACTCTGAGGGGGTGGCTAAGCATGTGGGCCGTGTACAATACAGACAACAAGTTTACGCTACCTTACGCGACACCATTTTTATTTAATGGCTGTGATCTGCACAGTTTATTTTGTACAACAACTTTGTTCTTTGTAGTCTTATTCTGCATTGTGCTCTCTCAGGAAGACTGTAGGACTCACTCTAAGTCTGGCAGTGGCTGGTCAAAATCATGAAACTCCTCGGGCAGAGTGATAGCGTTGTACGCTGCTTCTCTGTTCTCCTCTGGAAGATCCACCACACCTGAAACAACACGAGGTAGAAAAGCAGCTTTAGTGTATGTGACACATGCGTAGTTAGCATGTGCATCTAAAGTAACAGAGGCTCTTTCAGGGCCCTAACTGCTGCTGTATGAGTATGTATTTAATATGGTTTTTGGAAAGCCTAGTTTTGATTTATCTGCTGTTCCCAACCTGGTCTAAATGCCATCTTGATCTTGATGAAGGCCTCATTACAGTCTGCCAGCAGGTATTTGGCCTTCCTGTGGTAGATTCGCACCACCCCCAGCAGCAGATGCCCTGAAGTCCGTAAAGCCATTTTTACCTGTAAAAAAACAAAGACATACATTTAGTAATACAGTAACTTCTGTCTTCTACATAAACTGTGTCACTTCTTCCACATGTGGGAAGCAAAAAAGCAGTCTGTCTCACAACCGATGAGTTCTATATAAATGAAATTAACAAGTCTGTACTATAAAGAAATCCTGAGAGAAAATTAAACCAGAATAATATATAAATAAAAAAAAAAAAACCCCAATAAGGGCCTACAATGTAATTATAGGATGACTACATGAAGGTAGACACTGAAACCTAATAAGAAACAGCCACATTTTACAGCAGGGATTGACCAATGTGGCTTTTTCAGGGCTAATACCAACTATTAGCAATCAAGGAGACCGATAACCAATTTATGGAACTAATAAAGAGTGTTGCAGGTTCTATTTACATGCAGTAATGGGGTAATCACTTTATCACATGGGAGCGGTTAGAAAAAAAACACACAAAAACTGTGTACCAGGAACTTCATGGCATGGTTTTCAATGGCAGAGCAGCTACTGTAAGGTTAATTGATAGGTGCCCCAGTGCCAAATAGTAATATCAAATACTATATATAGAAATTAATTGCATGTCACTGCAACAAAGTTTATTATTCAGGATTTTTAGAGTAATAAGGAAACTTGTCACTAAGGAAAGAGCACAACTTCAGCAATTTCTGCTGCCTGAACTCTGTTTGTTTAATTCACTGTAGCTGCTTCAGACTGACAGATTTTAGTGGAAACTGTGTTAAAAAATGGAAAATCCCTAGTGTACAGTAATCAAAGTCTGTTGGAGTTAGCTGTGGTAGCCTGAGAAATAACCTTGGGTGAGATGATGCTCTCCACGCTGCTCTCCAAATTGCACTCAAAAACATGTGCCTTGGTCAGCTTCTTGTCCCAGTGGGCCGCCAGCCAGATTTTAGCCAGCGGCCCACGTTTGCTGAGGACAAAGTGTGCGTAAAACATCGTCTCGATGCCTTCTCACCACAAGGGAAAGGGGAAGTGGGGGATGCGTCAGGCCTAGAGAGAAAGAAAAAAAACAAAGAGAGAAACAGTACAGTGCACATGACTGAAATCACCACTATGAAGGGGTAAACTATGTGGGGATGTTGAAAAGAAAACAACTGATTGGGTTATCGTGATAAGCATATAACAAGGTGCAAACTGATTAACTGAGACTTTTTGAAACCACCGCCTGTGATTGGAGCAGTCCCAGTGTCACACAGAGTGCAGATACAGACTGCAGAGGCATATCATCTAACCTGCATGCATAAAATCCAGAGAAGGCAGAGAATGAGCTGCTCATTTTATCGCTCTCATTTACATCCATCAGCCAGACAGTTTTTCTTCTGTTAGTTAAGTTTTGCTAATATTAGTTCAGGGGAAAAAGCCTGAACCCGATAGCCTGCTGCCACCTGACTGCATAGATCAGAGACTATCTCACAAAAAAACCACACTGCTTTCAACTTTGTGACAGTGTGTCTAATGTAGTGGTATACAACACTGGGGCTCCACAATGTAGAGTACTTTCCCTGTTCCTTTTAATCCTTTACAAACTGGACTTCAGATACAACATGGACAGTTGTTGTTGTTGTTGGGTATATATCAGAAGGGGACAACTTGGAATACAGGGAGGTTATTACCAATTTCACTGAATGGTGTGCAAAAAAAAACTGTTTTTGAATAAACTCCAGCAAGACAATGGTGACTGACTTCCTCTGCAAGGTGATACAGTTTACACCAGTAAACATTCAAGGCCTGGAGATTAAGACTGTGTCAGCTTACAAATACTTGCATGTTAATCTTAATAGCAAAGTGGATTGGTCACATAATATAGATGTCCTGTATAAGAAAGGCTAAAATCGTCTTAGGCCCTTTGTTGTGTTCAGGATGCCGTTAAGGACCTTCTGGGACACTGTGGTAGCTCTTTAATCTTCTATGCTGTGGTCTGCTGGGGATGGAGGAACTCAGAGAAAAAAAGACTAAAAAAAAACTTGTGAGGAGCCCTGGCTTTGTTGAGGGCTGCTCCTTGGACTACACTAAGGAGCTGGGTGAGAGAGTAAACTTTCAACATAAGACTTTACAGTACAGTCAAATTAAAGAAATGCACTGATCTGTGCAATAATTTAATATTGTATAATAATATAAACAATAATATTCATACTTTAACACTGGTTTCTCCTAAATATTTTACTTATGTGTGTGTATATTTTAAGTAATAGATAATACTTGGACACAAACAACAGTAGAACCTTATTTTACATGTTTAAAATTTGATAAGATATTTATCAAATCATTTCCATGAATTTAGTGAATTATTTTAGCAAAATCCCTCATTTGGATCAACCCAACTAGCAAAAATATTTGTCACTGCTGAGGGAAAACTGTAAACTTTTATTTAATGTCTTTTATATTAATTACTAATTTGTAATAATAAACAAACAAACAAAACAGTGATAGCCACTCGAGCGATTGGGACTCTATAATTATTAAGGATCTGTAATATAAAGGATGTCAATTTCATTTTACATAGTAGGCCAAAATTGGGACATATTATAGGCTAACAGCTCATTTACAACAGTTTAAATACAAGAAAATATTTTTGGACAAATATCAGAAATCACTTTGTCACTTTATGTCTGGGCAATGTGTCATCGCAGATAATTTTACAGTAAACGCAACATTTTAACAAAGGAGCAGTAGTGTTATTTATCCTAATTGGCCCCTTTTATTTATGGCTAATTATATAGCCTGTTAGGTGTATACCCGCACTTTACTGTGGATACTGTAGAAATGACCTGCAGCTACACCGTTAGCCAGGACAGTCATGATACTGAAGGATGTAATGATTTAATAATAGAAACAACATGCAGCACCTGCAGGATGACTCCAATCAAAGTGCTGGCCCAAATGCAGATGTTATACTGTTATTACCGGGAAACACAGCGACCCTGTAACCGCAGACAGAAGAAGACCGGGCAGGTTTTATTTGACCGTTTTAAATGAGATGTCCGTTACATCGTTGACGCTCCCTGCATCCCAACAGGTGATGCTGCAGATAAGCTAGTATTAGCAGCTGTCTTTCAAAAGCACCGCGACGCTAGCCCCGTTTTCTCTCTTTTATTTATTTATTTTATTTTTTTAATTATCCACACAAATCTAATCTTCTGCTTACGCTAGACATAAAATACTCACCGGTTAGCCGTCTGGCGCGTTTCTGTTTTTGCCGGCCGTGCCGTCGCTGCCGTTGGTTGGGGGTTATTTTTTTCCCCGGTACCCCTCCGCCTCCTCTTCCACTAAAACAAACAAGATGGCGTCCCGTCCCCGTCGGAGAGGCAGGACGCTCTGAGAGCTCAGCAGGATGCAGACGGTGGTGCTGATGAGGGCAAAGAGAGGGAGGGAGATGCTCCGTTATCTGTGTGCCGCATTCAGATCCTTTACATCCTATATGATGTTTATAAAACATCATCAAACTTGTAATGATTCTTTTTCGTCAATAACAACACAAGGACATTAAACTTTTTCTGTCTTTACTAAGACATTTCCATCATTAATAAGAAGCTCACTCTCCATATTTACTTTTAAGGAAATAGTATTGGGTTTTGTGTTTAATCATTTTTGTTTTCTCTGGTCTTTTTAAAATAACAAGTGAAAAAAAAGTTGATTTTAGATTAGAGATTAGATGAAACTTTATTAATCCCTCGGGTGGGTTCCTCCGGGAAATTCAGTTTCCAGTAGCAAAGCACCAAAAGAAGTTGCATTTTACAGATACATTAAGGGGAATGAGAGTAAGGATATAAGCATAAATACACCACATATACACATATACACATATATAGATACAGAATATACAATATGGATAAATAGGATTGCACATTTGAGTGAGTATATTGCACAGTGATTATTGCACAGTCGAATATAAGCAATAAAGACAAAACAAAAAACAAATATTGCAAATATTGCACAGTGTAGAAAAGCACCTACAGCTCAGTTGTTCCCGCCCTCCCTTGTCCCCCTGTTTCTCCTCCCTCCCCCGTCCAGTGAGGAGTTAAACAGTTTGATGGCGTGTGGGACAAAGGAGTTTTTAAGTCTGTTGGTTTTTGACTTTGGGAGAAGCAGCCTGTCGCTGAATAGGCTCCTCTGATTGTTTACGACCGTGTGCAGAGGATGCCCGGCATTGTTCATAATGTCCATCAGTTTCTTTAAGGTCCTCTTCTCTGCCCCTGTCACCAGAGTGTCCAGCTTCATGCCGACCACAGAGCCCGCCTTCCTGATTAGTTTCTCCAGCCTGGATGAGTCCTTCTTTGCTGTGCTGCTCCCCCAGCACACCACGCCATAGAAAAGTACTCCTTTTGTTTTCATATATACATATCTGTAACTGTAACATACTTGAAAAGCATCCCATGTGAACATTTCATTATCATTTTAAATTGGTCTATGTAGCATTATTATCAACTATTATCATCATTATTATCAACCATCAGTGCAATTTATTGATCTTGAAGGCGAGGTTAAAGTTCAAATGTGACATTGTATGTTAAATCTTCATAAGCTATGCTCTATATGTTAATAATTATGCACATCACACTTGTAAGAATAATATTTTCTCATTCATAAGATGTTTTGTCAATTTTTGACCAATAAATCGTTAAGTTGGCCTTGAAGTCCTCAGTGAATTTTACCTGCCTAATTTTAACTAATTGTTAACATGATCCCACTAATAAAACCCTACAATGTTTTATTAGAATTCATTCAAAACTTTCTGAGCTATCATGTTTACAGACAGAATGACACACACATGATCTACACTGACAACATGTTGAAAAAGAGTATGATTTCTTTCTTTCACTGTGTTTTAAAGCACTTTGTTACATTAAGAGCTGCTTTGCTCCACACTCATACAGCGGTCCCGTTAGGGCTGCAGTAATTTTGCTCTTGTGACACTTGGACAGCTCAGCTGACAGCAGATGTGAGCTCTGCACTCCCTCGGGCTGCTGCAGCATGCTCGATCACACATATCGGGGAAAAGGAAAATGAGTTAGTCACATGTTGTCTCAGGTCAGGCACATGAATCAGAGTTAGTTTAAGATCAGTTTACAAATACAGGGATTTAGCTTCTGTGTGTGTCCTTTTTTCTTTCAAGTTTGTCATGTGACTTTCTGCAAATAGCTGAAGGTACCAGCAGGAGGCAGTAGCTGAAAGATTAAGGCAGATTTTTACTTGTAAATGTTGCAGTTTTTCAGAAGCAGAAAAGATCACCTGACTGTGCAGAATACAGCTAATGAAGTAACAATAAAGCAGTGTGTTTGCTTTAATAATTTCAGTAATAATAATGCCATATCTTTTAAAAGAAATGGTCCAAATCCAACTCCTTTGAGCTGTCTGAAAAATTCAGATTTAAATTTTATGGAAAATTGTCTAGATATCTTAGTGTTTAAATGACACTTAAATCATACTTATTTTCCATCTGTGAAATCACAGTTAAACAGTCTGCACAGGATGACTTAAGTTTTTCAATTCATTACAACGATTTATCTATTTTTGATGGATATCCTTAAAACTTAATGTTCTGCCTAGTCAAGTCGAAATAAAGGCGTTTTTGTGTTTTGAATCCATGGTGGGGGAATTTGTGCTTCAAGCTAAATCTGAAATTAGAATACTCACAAGATCAGTGAGGAAAAGAATTTGCCTAGTATGGTTGATCATGATAAATAATGCTCACAAAAAAATGTAATCCTAGTCTTTGCACTTGTACTAGACAATGTCTGCTTTACCTCTTTGTTAACTGATGAATGAAATGATATTTAATAGTCCACCTCTTTATTTTCTTGATATCTGTTTATATTAATTACTCCACAAATAAAAGTTTTATCCCATGGATTAAAAGGAAACATGATTGGCAATAAAAGCCAATGTACTGCATGTGGATAGTAAAATGTATGCTGTAGTTAAACGTTGCACAACATAATGTATTTGTATTTTTAATTTTTATTTTCTTTTATTTGATTATGCACCAGGAATGATACATATTAACTTGATTTATTTAAACAGAATACAATCAATGTAGTGCTGGTTAGCCCTTTAAAACAGAATATATCAATACAAATATACGATGAAAAGAAAGTACAAAGGGAAACTTGACTGGGAGCATCATCTTGAAATACTTAGCACATTTTTACACACACAAAAAAAATAAAATTTTTGGTGTTTTGTAGCTTGCACAGGAAGTGTGTAATAGTCCAGTCTTTTAAGAAGAAAGGTGTGGACTTATTCTTTTAACCAAAGGTTTTATTGGCAGATCTCAACCCAAGTCAGGTCTCTCAGCAACTTCAGTGTTGCATTCTTACTCCAAACTACTGGAAGCAGCCCATCCAGTCTTAAGGAACAATTGGCTGACATGTGCTCCCCTGGGCCTTCCAGGCTGTAAATCCTGCCCCAACTGCTTTCTTCCCATAAAAATAACCTTATTTCCCTATGAATGATTTAGTTTTTTGTAACAATAAACAATAAGTAAATAATAAATAATCTATTTTTTAAATGGTAATCAAACATTTTTTCATATGTGGACTTACTAATCCTGTGGAGCCACCTGGTTCAGAACGAGGAACTCTTGTATCTTTATTTTGAATTAATATACAAGATACAGTCAGCGGAAATTCTCTCACATTGTTTCTTTTAATCTAACTTTTTTAATAAATATAAAAGTTTTGTTTGTGTTGTGTTTTATGTTTTCATCTCCCGAGGCACGGTTGTAACAATTGGGGGCTCATCCGAGATATTCAAGGCTAAAGCTTGGCTTATAATCTGCTTGCTGCTAGGCTGAATTAAATTGCTTTTCTTGACTATCGGCTTTTGTTGGCACTGTGGAGTAATTTTTAGAAGTAACTAAAAATTTGATTAGGCATTTTCTTTAATTTGCAGACCTATTTCTTTAAGATTATATACTTCCATGGTCACATATAGCTGTTTATGTTTGTATGACCTTACTTTTGTCAACCAAAGTGTCTAATCTCAATCTGACAACAGTGTGAAAGTGAGAATGCGGTAAAGACAACGTTTTGGGAGTATTTTTCTGATTCCCCAAGAATTGCCATTGTGCTGGCCAACCATTTGAAAGAAAGAACAAAAGTACTTTATTGATCCTGTGGGGAAATTCCTCTCTGCATTTAACCCATTCACTCAGTGAAGCAGTGGGCAGCCATTGGGCGCCCGGGGAGCAGTGTGTAAGGACGGTACCTTACAGGGGTACCTCAGGGTAGCTGTTCAGGGGAATCAAACCCCTGACCTTCCGATCACGGGGCCACCACTCTACCTACTGAGCAATCCCTGCCCACTTGTATAAGCAAACTCAATGAGGTAAGGCTCAATTAGAGACAGAGATCAGTGCCGCTCCTTTCTTCACCACCTGAGGCTCAGTCTGTGTGTTTGGCAGCTTGTTTTTCCTTGTCATTTCTGTCCTGCATGCGCCCTGCTTCCTTGACCTTCAAGACTGATGACTCAATCTTTCCAACCCCTTCATTTGCTCCACAGACCTCTGCACAAATGGAGTCATAGCTCACACCTTACGAGCCTTGACAAGTGATCCGCTCCATCCAGTTCTTCAAGACACTCTCACATCCATCTTTGCAGATCATTTTATGAGTGAATTACAAATCAAAGCCATTTATTTAATGGCGATTGCATGCAGAAGAACTTGGCCGAGTGGCTGACATCACAAGGTCTCATTCGGTTTCACGCACATAAACACTTTTGTCAGAGTAAAGAATTACTTTGAGAAAAAGCTGTGCACTTTGAAAGCACTGACTGATAGTGATGTCGCCTCCAAATGTGGCCTCTCACTTTTCACAGCCAGGCTCATAAGTTAGGCTGGGAAATACACCGGACCCCTGTCTCATCTCAATATAGAAGTCAGGAGAAAAAAACTGCTTACTCTTGCCAAAAACCATCCCACAAACCCCACTGGGAATGGACTTAACTTGGGCACAAAGGCCCTGGTTATATTTCACCGTAGGATGGCCTTTGTGCCTCTGAATCAGGCAACACTGAGGCTGTGTCTGCTCCTCGCACAACCTGTCTGTCTCCTAAGCTGACAAGCAAGTCTTATTTAGGGAGAAGCACTGAAAAAGTCCACCGGGATTTCATGGATTTTGTGTGTGGCGTACACGGGGGCGCACACACACAGGTTTACACATTGGCACTTTGTCCAAATGAGAGCTCACTCACAGCACATTTCTCACACTGGAATTGTATGGGGGCAGGATTTGCAGAGAAAAAGAAGTAGAGAAAGGGGGGGGAGGGTGTGGTGGCACCGGTTGGAGGGGTCTTTTCAGTTCTTTTTGGAGGCAACAATAGTCTTTGTCCAAGATCTTCCACTATTCTTATAAGGGTTACCGAAAGAAGGAGGAGAAGCAGGAGGAGGGAGGTGGCCACGCAGGCGGAGGGTGTTTCTCCATAGTAACAATGACAAAACAGGCCAGTTCAACACCAAGCAGGCAAAAAGGTTATTGGAGCTGCTGAGGAGGCACACACAAACCTGTGGAGTAGAGCCCTGTCCACAGAAGGAAAGGAGGAAGACCAGTTTGGTGAGGATCTGTAAAAGGGGGGCAGTGTTGTGTAAAGAAGACAACGAGGCAGGCAGCATTTCCGAAAGCTTTATGACAAAGTGTTTATCAGTCAGTCAAAGAAAGCGCTGGGAGGAACATTATCATAGCAGCCAGCACATCTGTATCCTCCGAGCATGGATCGAGACAGTCACAGTGAGGACACTTTGTCAACTATGGTTCTGGAGAACATAAAGAACAAATTAATTGATGCCTTCAGAGTGACAGGAGAGTCCCGAGAAGATCTCCAGGACTCTGGTTCCACAGTCAGACCGGTCAGCGTGGGCAGGAGTTATCAAGCAAACGAAGAGCTGCGGCGGGCACAGATAGATGGAGCGATAACCTGGCTGAGGTCTGAACTGGTAGGTCATCTTAAAAATCTGACTTTGTTTGCTATTTATCTTTAGCCTTCAACAGGTGGTATTAACAGTCATGGGTATTTTATTCATCTATTATTTTTAACCAAGTTCATTCAGGCATATGAAAAATCAAAGCAAAGGACTAGTAATTTTATGTGTAGCTTGGTTATGCTAATTATTTTCTTTCATTGTTGTCATGCAGTTGGAAATGCGCTCCCAGGACCTCCAGCTGGCTCAGACACTGCTGGGGCTCAACACAGAGATCCAGAGACTAAGGAGGGAGAGTTTTGGATGTGTGGAGGTAGAAGGGGGTAACCACCAGTAACTGGCTCCAGCAAAAGTCTATTTTTTTTTTTTTACTGGAATGAATAGTGGAGAAAGTAAGGACTGTGATGCAAAGATTCAAATGCACTTGCTTATGATAATAAGTTGTATCACTGTAAAGGAACTTAGTCAGCAGTTGCATGTAAAATACCTTCAGTGAAAAAAAGAAGGTTGCAATATGTTGAATTGTCTTTGATCCTGCTCTTTTCTTTTTTGAAGAAAATTTGCACTTACACAAAGTTGTGATAAACAAAGTGGAAAGAAAAAAAAGACATAAATGTGTGAATGTAAGAGAAATAAAATGTACAATGTCACCGTCTTTGCGTCTTTATTTAGCTGGCATACTGTAACCACTGCAGTACCTGTTTTAAAAAGTGCTATAAAATTCAGGAATGGTTAATAAATACATTCAAGTGTCACTCCCAAACAAGAACAAAAAAGCCCATCTTTATCTACATGTAAGAGCATTTTAAAAACTCATATGTCAAATCAGAATAGTTATCTGCAGTTACAATGAACACATGGAGATATAAAAAAAACAACCTCCTGACCTACTGAATTACATTTCTGGTCAGACAGAATAAATATCAGTGACTTTTCAGGCTTTCAGTTACTGACATGTTCACATGTTTGTACAGTACATGTTAATATTTGTCTAGACAGAGAAAACGCTTAACACAGTGCTTCAAAAGACTGCCTTTAGGTCATTGTTTAATACAGATACTAAAATATAAAGTAACAATATATACATACTGGAAATGTATATACTGTATGATGCTACAGCCATTGATGGGTTAGTTTGGCTAATAAAATACTCCAGACAGCATGAATCATGAATCCTACTTTTCCTGCTACATCATACTCTTTAAAAAATATTTTTTTATTTAATCTGTAGTAGTCTGTAGGAAAACCACTCACATAACTATGACTTCAGTAAACCTGGGTGTACTCTTTTCTCACATGTCACACTGTTAATTTAGTTCCATCAACTTCACACTCCACTTTAAGATTCTTGTTTTAACTTTTAGAGCTCTGCATGGACACTCACCAGAGTATACCAGTAAACTTTTACATGCATACAACCCAACAGGTGCCTGGGGTCATGTGATCAGTACCTGCTGGCTGTGCATCATAAAAGGCTGAGAATTAAAGGAGACAGTGTACTCCAGACTCTGATATGTGCGGACTTAAAATACAGCTAAAAACTCATCTTTTTAAACTCCATTTGCTGTCTTTTGTTTTGTTTTTGTTTTGATGTTCTATCCTTTTTGTTGTCAAGCACTTTGTGACGTTTATTTTGAAAAGTAATATGCAAATAAAATGATAATTTATTCATGGCTGAAAAATATAGGCAAAACAGAACTGTCAAAAACAGCAGTTCCTCTAATGGCCACTTGAGGGTGACTCCAAAAGTAGTTCATCCTGTTAGACTCCAATGTAAAAACTCCCAGCTTACGTCTTGGTACAGAAAAATCAAACAAACACGTGTTTATTATGAATATTAATCGAGCTGGAAGGTGGATGACTTGTGTTATAACTCACCAGCATGTATTTTTATGGATATACTCAACGTTTTGACACTAAAAACAAACAAGTAAACAAAAAAACAACATGGCTGTTGTGCCCCACAACTACTAATTAGCCTGTTTTGCAAAAAAACAAAAAAACATTTGTTTTAGTCTAAGGTGCCTTTTTTCATTTACAATGTCATATTCGTGTTATGAAAATAAAAATAAAGTATAAGCCATGACATTGTTGGCTAATTTGTATGCAGCCGTAAGTTAAAATGACTTTAAGCTTTGTTTTTTCTTAAGTGAAGCGGTGGAAAATGGGGTCACCGTACTCCACCTTGTCTTTGTTAACTGCCTTAAAAGGCACATTTTTGAAAAATTTGTCTGACTTTTTAAGGCACAGAGCTTCTCCTGCAGAACATCCTCCTCGATAAAGTGCCCGAATAAAGCTGCTGAGGCATCTTTAGGCAGGAAATGGAAAAGCCCCCCTCCACTGAGCTGGAGTAGAGACTGCCGCTTCCTTGTTCACTCTCAGAGTCCCAGTAGCTCCCCTCCTCTTCTTCCTCATACGTCTCCTCCTCTTGCTCCTCCTCATACAGCTCCTGCTTGAGCTCCTGGATGCCCGAGTGAAGCTCCATCAGCTGTCGAATCAGGGCTTGATCCTGAGAACGCATTTCCATCTACACACGGAGGACACATCTGTTTAGATTTCACAGAAGCACAGAGCAAACAGACAAATAGGACCAAATACCAAACTGTGAATGAAAGAATTGTGAAGCGAACTTCAGAGAGTTTCTTTCCATCTCAATGAAGCTGAGCAGGTTGTGCTCGCTTTGAAACTGTAAGCCATTTCATTTGAGTGTTGCCCTCTTTCAAATGCAAATGGATCTTTCTGTCATTCCCTTTCTTTTCTTTTTTTTATGAGAGGCTGTCCAACTACTGGCATTGTAAAATAAGATATTCAGAATTCCATCTAGTGTCCAAGTCTGTGCAAAGCACTCAGGAATGCGGGCCGATCTGCATTTCTTTTCTCGGTTAATTACAGCACCAGGCTCAAACTGAGGCTGAGGCGGTGCATAAAAGATTCTGGTTGTATTTCCTTTGTCAACACTTAATTAAGAGAAAACCGTGATTTTCTTTTTTTCTTCTTTGAGATCAAGCCATTTTGGGCTTCATCACCTCATTATGACAAACACTAGTCCTTTTCAAATAATGTAGAGGCTTCTCAAATCAGCTTCTGTCTGTAGATGAGGTTTTTTTTTCCAGGGAGTACGCTAACCACAGAAAAAAACAACCTCAGCCTCAGCACAAAGCTTTGGGACTTTTTGGTGATATTTTATCACATTTTGCTTATGAATTATAAGCGATACTTAATGCATCTTCTGTCTTTGGTGTGTCTGTTTCATTTTCCTTCTTTTTTCTATCCTTAATTATCTTCGTTTAAGTGTGGGAGAATAATACCATAGAGGCATCCGTGTCATTAAATTCATCTCATGAACACAAAAAGTGGAACAGCTATGGGTTGGGGGAAATGATCATATTGTAAATTCAAATGTCTTTAAATATAAGGTTATGATAAAGATTACTTTGAATGAGGCTAAAAGAAAGTTAATAAATCGTTATAAAATATTGATGAGACGGATAAAAAAAATCTCCTTAGGCGATTTAAACAAGATGTTAAGTTTAGAAACTAATGAAGTAAATAACATAGAAAACAATAGATTTATTAGTCTAGTTCGACTTTAGTTTAGTTGTTTTCTCCCCCTAATGCATTTTGATCAAAAGCTCTAGAAAAGCCACAAATCAACCTTAAGATGAGTAGAAGCAAAACATTTTCCAGAGTGAATAAAGATCTTTGGATTGTTGTATGCATTAAATAATCACATCTACAGATGTGCTCTATTCAAAATTGCAATGTGATTATATTTGCCTATAATACTTAAAGGTAAGTACACTAAAAAGAGGGTAAAAAGCCAGGTTTTACAATAATTGTACTGTAAACAAATTCAAGTACTCTATAAGTCATTTTAAGTAATGCGCAAGTAATTTCAAGTATTGCATAACTTCATGTATTTTACAAGAAAGGAAACACAAATGATTAAGTACACTGTACTTTTCATGGCCGCGGATTGCACTATGGAGTGGCTTGACCTTGGCTTCCAGGTATTTTAAAGGAAAGGAGGTCCTTTTAAAAGTCTTCTTTGAATAGTGATTGTAAAAGAAAAGAACATTAAGTTGACTTGACCCCATCACGATAAGGTCACATAAGCCTGCAATTTTTGATGGTACTTATTTTTTCTAAATTGATAAAAGGACAGTTGAGTAATGGAACAAAACAAAACAAAACAAAAAAAAAGTAAACAGGCAAGATGAATCCACTCCATAATATGGCCTGGCCATGGTGTATAAAGTATATTTACGATGTGAGACGGGGAAATTGTTTGCTTTTCTGTAAAATTACCATAAATTCTACACCACTTAAAATGATTTATTCACTACTTTTATTTATTTATAATTAATGTGTAATTTATTTACATTATAGCTTTTTCTGCATTTCCTGTAAAAACCTGATTTGTTTCCCCTTTATTGTATTGGTTATCTTTAAGTATTTGCAGGTAAATATAATTACATTGTCATTTTAAATAAAACACATAAAATTCTATTTGATAACAGGAGAATTACATACTTTGTCATTGACTGTATTATGAAGTGTTACCATATGTATAAATAAACAGAAAACTCTGAAAATCTGAATTTATTTTATTTAAGGAGGCAAAAGTGCGACAAAAAAACGGAGACTGTCTAATTTTGTATTTTTACATGCAAAGCTCGTCCTGCTCATAAAAAAAAAATGCAATGTGAGCCAAAAGCTTGACATCATCTAATAAATAGACTTGAGGATTATTTCTGGAATTTAAAGGTTAAAGGTTTTAGCCTGAGCACCTCCCTTAAACTATCTGAAGGAAGGTGAAACAGACAATTTAAGGATCTCATTCACTGCTGCTCCTCTGAGGCCTGTTTCCAGGATGTCTCTGTTTCTCCTTGTTGCTCTTCTGTCCGGCTCCCGCTCAGACTGTTTTCTTCTCTGTGTGCTCAGGACACTCGGTTACCATGACGAGCAGTCGCAATAAATGCCAAGCGATAAATCAAGCCGTGACAATGAGGCTTGCACTTGCAGACACACAAGCACATGCACACACAGCCTCTTTGCATGGTGACGGTGGTTTAAAAGGGAGTGACGTTGTAAGAACATGACTTACATGGAGCCGGAGGAACAAAGAAGGCAATAACTTGGGCCTCACACACAAAAACATCAGGGCTGACCATAGAAGTCGTTCTGATGGTGGGACAAATGACTTGATCTTTATCACAACAGACAATAAAAATGTTTTTAGACTTCCCACAGACGTCACAAAAGGGCCACGCAGAAGAATTTACAGGTCATAGATTTTGTTGCTATTTAGTAAATGAGCAAAATTGATATTTTATATTCGCCTCAGTTTGAATTTAGAAAAATAAAATGCTTTCAAAACAATAATTCATGCTTTGTTTATCTGTTGAATTCAACTCATTTCACAATTCACTTTGGAAATAAAAGGGTCATTTTAACCCCGAAATTTCAAAGTCTACTCTTACCTGTGCAGATCAGAAAATAACACACATCAGTGGTGAAGGAAGTATTTAGACTGTTTCCTGAAGCAATATGTGGCCCTATCTATGAAATATTTGCTGAACAGTGGCCACTCTGACTGTCTGAAAAAGAAAAATGCAAAACTATGGGACAAGATTTCTAATCTTAGTGAACTAACTCAGTAATGTTTGTCATATTCCATCATTTGGCTAAAACTGCTAAATAAATTCATGAATTTGGTCAGCAGATTAAGCAAGTCCAACAAAATCAATTTGTTTAACTAGAACATTTACTACAACAACATTGTACTATTGTACTGCAACATTTTACTAGATTTAAGGAAATTATATACGAAATAGTTATTTCTTCATCAACAATGATTGACTCTGACTTACACAGAACTTTGAATCGCACTGACCCAAAGTTCTGAAAGTGTTTTAAATTTCATTTTACATGCACAAGATTATATTTTTTTGCATGCAGCTTTTAGTACAGACAAATAATATTTTTTAAATCTTTATTGTGTAAATAAACACCCCCTATTCCCAGAACGCATAGTTTTGTACAACTCTAACATGAGCTGCCACAATAAAACTAAAGAGGGCTTTAATATAGTTGTAACAGGAAACAGGAATCTGCAGGTGTTATATACGTATAGCAAGACAAAATTTATTAGGGATACACCGTTTCCCTTACAGGCTCGATCAGAGTCCCAGTCTTACCAGTTCCCTTCGCAGCCAGGCCAGTGCACTCTCTATGTCCAGTTTGCTTGCTTCTCCACCAGATGTGCACCCTTCCTTGACATGGTTGGTTCTGGCCTCAGGGTCCCTGCTTGTGCTCTCTTGTGCTCCCTTGCAGTCATCAAAGGTGGAGGTCTTGCAGGAGAAGTCCCGCAGTCTTGTTAGGACCACCTCCATCATGTTAGGTCAGTGATAGTTCTTCTAACCGGAGTCTCTTCTACACCCTCTGCTGCGTCTTGCCTGTTTTCGGCCGTAATGCAGCTGCAAACAGCCTCGTCTTCTGTTATGAGCCCTGCCAGCTCGGAGGACTTAAGAGGAGCTCTCTCTCTCTCCCGTTCTCATCTTTCAAACATGCTCCTTCCTCCCTCCCTCTGCTCTCCTCCTTTTTCTTGCCGTCTGTTTCGCAAACATTAGCCCCCAACTGCTTGGCAGAGTGAACTGGTAGCACTGGTCTGGCGAATGCCACTGAGCTGGTATGACGTCAGTGAATTGTCCAGATGCCTGATGTGGAGCTGTTTGGTTTTTTGTTTTGTTTTATTTTTTTTTTAAATCAGACACACAAACACAGAGATCATTAGGAAGGAGATGAGGGAATTAGCCCGGTGGTTGTCTTGAAGATGACACAAGGGTCCTGTTGTGTAAACTCACACAGCTTCAGTGAGTTTTGGTCTGTTAAAAGATGATGGAAGGTGATGATGCTGACAGAGGCATAAACATTAAGTCCTATGGTGTACGTGGAGCTCACTGCCCTGAGTGGCCTACGTCAGGGTCAGGATCTAAAGAACAGTGTGAACAGCCATGTGTAACTAACCCTTCTCATGCCATTTTCCCTTCACTCTGTAGCCCCTGGCAACCCACTCCTCATCTATTCACACGCTTTGGTAAACCAAACACAGGCCGGCTGTACGGAGCCTGCATCGACCAAAATAGCCCCAACACACTATTTTTAGAGTTAAACTGACTCCACTTTTAGACTTGTTTAAGAAAGCAAACGTCACCCCTCTCAAAAGGAGTTAAAAAAGTCTTCAAGTCTCATTGTGCAAGTGTGTCATGTTCCCACTACTGCTTTCAAAAGGAATGAAAAGAGCTGATGTAAGTGTTTTAACGTCACACACTGCATTGGGTGAAACTCTCAATTATATTTCTGCAAAAGGCACTTTGTCTCAGCCTGTCGGCGGTTGAATGTAAGATCGATTTAAAACTGGGGTAAGCGTCATGGTTTTGGTATCCCTATGGGACAATCATTTCTAACAGCAGAGATGGTGTGAACCAATCATGTTGCTGTACTCTTGCACATAGAAGTGCTGTTAAAAAGTATTGCCCCCCTTCAGACCTCCTTTGTTTTTTTTATTTTTTGCCATATTTGTCAGAGTTAAATGTTTCAGATTGTAAAACAACTTTTAGATAAATCTGAGGAAACACAAAATGCAGTTTTTAAATTATGATTTCATTTATCAAGGGAAAAGGGGATTGAGAATCTACCTGGGTGTGTGTGGAAAAGCAATTGCAGCCTGAACCTAATGACGGGTTGTGTCACTCTTGGCAGCAAGAACTACAATCAAGCACTTGCTGAGTTAGTCATTGCTGTGGAGAAATTTTGTCCCACCCTTTTTTTACATATTTGTTTCACTTCAGCCATATTGGGAGGGTTTTTCAGCATTAATGGTCTGTTTACAGTTGTGAAAAAACCCCATCTCAATCAAATGTAAGTCCAGACTTTGACTAGACCACTCCAAACCCTTCAAACCCTCCATTGCTTTTAAGCACTGATGTGATGTCTTGTGGAAAATCCTGCTGCATAGCCCAAGTGTGCTTGATCTTTGGGGAACAAATGGCTGCACATTCTCCCATGGGATTTTCTGGTAGAGTTTTTATGCTTCAAGTAGTAGTTTTAGGTCCGCTTAAAAACAAAAAATCAATCAGGGGTTCCTCAGGGGTCTGTCCTTGGACCATTATTGTTCAACCTTTACATGCTCCCATTTGGTACTTTCATAAAGAATCATATCATAGCTATAATATCTCATTCTTTTGCAGATGACATTCGGTTGTACCTATCATTTTCCTCATATTATCTATCTCCTGTTCACAAACTAGTAAGTTGCACTGAGGAAATGAACTGCTGGATATATAGAAACTTCTTGTAACTGAACAGAAACAATAAAAATATTTATTCTTGACTCAAAAAGTCAGAGACAGAGAATTTGTTCATATTTATCATGCCCTTCTCTGAAACACACAGCAAACAAATCAAGAGCCTTGGCATTATTTTGGACGGTCACCTCAGTTTGATAAACACATCAATATGATTACCAAAACTGACGTCTACGACTTAAAAAGTATATAAAAAGTCAACAAGTTATTATATTAAAGTGACTAAGAAATTGATGCAGTAAATGGATTAATCCATGCAGGATTATCCAAATCATCATTAAAATGACTTCAACTCAATGCAGTAGTAGCCAGTAGTGCATGGAAATGTGAACATATTACCCCAGTATCCAAGTCTCTCCACTGGCCCCCAGCTCAACACAGGCTAACCTTTAAAATCCTTCTGTTAGTTCATAAAGCTCTTAATAGTTTGGCCTCCCAGTGGATCTCTGACTTCCTCAGCGTCAATAACCAAATTAGACCTCTCAGGTCGTCAGGTGCAGATCCTTTAACTGTCCCTAGAATTAGATTTAAGTGTGCTGAGGTTGCTTTCAGTTTTTGTGGTCCTGCTCTTTGTTTTTGTTTTTTTTGGCCTGTCCCGTTTGGCTCTTTTGCCATCAGAATTGTTGTCTAAAGGCAAAGAAAGATGCCCAACGGATTTACTTTACCAAATTGACCATCCCAGCCTTGCCGTAATGGTCCATTTGATTCACCTTTTATGGTTTATTTTATTTTCACTTACTGAATACGGGACAGACTTGACTGGGGGAAAGAAGGGGAGAAAGAAAGAGGGAAAGAGAAACAGCTGAGAAGAGGGACGGGGGAGAAGGGCAAAAGACAAAAACCAACAGAACGGGCAGAGAAGAAAAAAATGCATATATCAATCACCTGGATCACCTGCTGAGAAAGAAAAAAAGAAAACAAGCAGAAGAGAACAAGAGTAATAGAATAAACAGCATCACAATGATATATGGGAATATGACAGTAAATACTAAATATTAAACATTATTGTGCAGCACATAAGATCAACAGAACACAGTGTGCTTTGAGGTAGGAGCCAAAAAGGGTGTAGTTTGTGGGTGTGATCACCCGTGTGTACACCTGTGAGCATGGACGTGCTTGTTTTTTGTTTTTTTAAAAGGTTCCTTCATGTAATGATCTGCTAGAGGGTGTGGGGGGGGCCACAGCCCCGTCCTCCAGGGCATGAAGCAGGTATGGAGGAGATCAAAACTCCAGACATCCAGAGGCCACCAGAACACAAGAGACCAAGGAAGACCAACAGAGGGGCAGCCGCGCCACTGTCCCAGAAAGAGCTGAGGAGAGTCCCAGATGAGGGCTCACTCAGCAGCCGCGGAGCAGAAGCCAGGGGGAGTTGCAGTGACGCGCCCGTGAGCTCCGCCGGCAGCCAGCCGCGCCTGAGTGACCGAGCCCCAGGCCGAGAGGCCGGGGGCACCCCACCTCCGAAGTGGCCCGAGCGAGCCCCAGGCTCCAGGCCCCGATACGCGGCCGCCAAGGAGTTAGCCGGTGTGTACCTGGACGCCCATCCCCAGACACAAAGAACCACCAACGCACCGATGTCTGAGGGGGTCCGCCACTGGCAGGGGAAGTGGTGGTAGGGGAGATAGGCCTCCAAACCTTGGAGGGCCTGAGATGTCCCCAGAGAGGTGGCGCCTGACACCCAACCTGACATATAGACACAGACATACAGGCACACACAGATACAAACATCCATTCTCACCCTCATGCTCTCATATGCACTTACTCCACACTCAACCAACGTGGAGACAGACATAAAGAGACGCTGTACACACGATCACACTCCCCAAGCGTACTCTACAAACCGGGTCTAGGTACCCTTGCCCCTGGAGGGGGGAACTGCACCCAGACCCAGGTGGTGTTACCCTTTTCCCTGCGGTGGGGGGAGGCAGACCGCCCCGACTCCGCAGCAGCAGGAAGGCCCCACACTCCAGACCGCAGTCGGACGGCCAACTCCTCCTCCTAGCCCCCCGCTCCAGCAGGTCGCAGAGAATGGGGGTGAGAGAAGACTCCAAACCTCCCTCCACCCGCTCATTGTAGTGTTGATGCATATGTGTTCTAAGGTGCATTTAAAACCCAGGAGGGCATGGAGCTACCTGCCAGAGAGCAGCAGGTAAGCGCATGGTCCCTCCTGCTAGCCCTCAATGTCTATGTGTATTTAAAATTGAGAGGTGGGCAACGATGCCAGGGGTGGGGTGTACACCCTGATGGTACTTTGGATTCCGTGTATCGTGCCCACCCCCAAGATCCTATATGTATGTGTAATGAGAGTGTGAGTAATGTGAATGTCTAAGTTGTGGTCCTGCTCTTTGGAACCATCCGAACGCTGATCTGAGGTCAACTGGAACAAACTCAAAACCTTTTTATTCTCACAAACTTTATATATGTGTGTGTTAACTTCTATTTTATGTTTTCATAAAGTTTGTTTTGTTTGTGTTTTTATTGCCTTAACACTTCGCAGACCTACACTGGTTTATCTTAAAGGAATGTACTGTATAAATAAATTATCATTGCGATTGATCACCACCTTGTAGGAAGCTTAATTTTGAATTAAAGGTTTAATTCAATCAAAAGAAAGAAAAAAAATACTAATGTTTGCCCTGTGATTGCTCCAATCTGTACTCATCCCACCACCTCCTCAAAGGGAAGCCAACTTCTCCATCTTCTTCCATTTCCTTCCCCTGACCTCGCCTCCTCCACTCTCTTTACCACCGTTCTCTTCATCTATTATCACCTTCTTATCCCAGCAGATCAGCTATTCAAAATCATTAAAAAAAAAAAAAGCAATCTCTATGATCGATCAGATTAAAAACACTGTTACTGCCAACTGATAACGTATCAGCATTTACTCAGCAGGGCTAACGCTTTTAATGCCAGTTATTCTTTCAAACATTTCATCCGAGTCCGAGTTTTTCTTTTAACATCATTTTGATAACTAAAGCGAATGAAGACACACTTTAAAAATAGAAACATAGATCTAAATTAATGAAATGTAGACATGTAGGTCTGTTTAGTGGATCCTTGTCGCCATCTTCTGGTATTTTTTTTTTTTTTTAAATCAGTCGCCAAAACAAAAGCGAGACTAAGTTTTTTAGAAAGACTTGCTACCCATCCACTATCTTGAAACTCCCCCGGGGCTGTTATTGGCTCATTACCGATCCAAATAAAGAATAAACAAAATAAAAAACATCACCGACATAGCTGCTGTTTAATCCACCCACAGATTGAAAATTAGTGTCGTT